ACCAATTTTTTATTTATTTAATTTTTCATTTTCTTTCGGGAACAAAATTTGAAATTGTGAACATTTGTTGAATTTCTCAAAGCATTTTTCCGAAACCACAGACATTTTTTAAAATCATGAACATTCTTTGTATTCTTGACATAATTCTGAACTCATGAACATTTTTTGTATTGGCGAACATTTTTCCAATTTTGCAAAAATAAATAAATCATATTTGTGGATATTTCTTTAAATTTTGTTAAAAAGAAATAAAAAAGGAATATGAGGAAAAGCGAGAAACGAAATAGAAATGAAGATAAAAATAAGCTGGGCCAAGGAGCCCTCACAATAAAATCGGAAGACTTAATCTGAAATCATCATCTGAATATGTAGTATAGAGGAGTTTGCATTTATGGAGGGATGGCAATCAGTGGATATTATGTTGATAGCTGACAAACCATACATACTACATATCCCCTGATGTTTGCACAACAACAGAAACATTCCATGGCACAGCAGCTCCAACATACCGCAGGCAGGCCCAAGATGCTGGGTCCTCTCCTCTCTGCAAGACAATCAATAGCCACATTAGCAGATATAGAGAAAGCAAAAGCAGTACCAACACAATAGATAAAATATTATATGCATGAATGAATGAAGCATTGCCAAAAATAAAAGATTTGAGTTGAAATTAATAACCTTACGGGGTCGCCTCGGAACTGACGGGGAACATATAGCATGCTCGTCCTCGGGCAGAAGAACACCAGTGATCACCAACAAACAGTGGCAGAGTATAGCAACATTCAAAGTTTGAGATTGCTAGCCAGGCCTACCGCCTGGTGATTAGAGTAGAGCAACATTAGTCAGTTGCTCCAGAGCTGTTCCGTTCCGCCATAAAAATATATATGTTCCTTGAGAATCCATCCCAGCGAGCTTTGTCTACCTCACTTTTTCGCATTGTGAAATCCATCTTCTGCAAACCTGTGATGTAGGCCTCCACGTATGATTGACCAAGCCAAGTACATAGGTGTCAGCTGGATGTTATGGCACGATGAAAAGTCTCTTCTTTTTCTTTTTCAAGCATGGAAGGCATTCCAAGTCCCTTCAATTACTTGTTTCAGCCAGGCCGCTTTTGTTCAAAAAAAAAGCCAGGCCGCTTACCTCCTCTCCTCTGCAGCATTGTAGCAGTTGGGACAACACGTAACATCCATTACACCACCCGGGAAAAAAAAACTCCATCCAGTACACAAGGGAACACGTACCATACCCTCGTATCGTACGTAACCACTAGGAGCAAAGAAAAATGGAGAGGTGGGTGGCTAAATGGCCTCGGAGGCCTTGTCTTGTGTCCATGGAACAAACAAACAAACAAACAACAACACTTGAAAAAGAAACAAGGCTCCAAGGCCAACATCCAAGGAGTATGGAGTATGGGTGTCAAAAGTTAGTGAATTGCACAAAACTAGGACAACGCCCACACGCCCTATAACACGCAGACTGCCCCACGTCACCGCATGCATGTATGTGGGAATCTTTTTGGATTTCCAGTTTTTAAAATGTTTTATCTCTTAAATGAAAAATCCGATTAAAAATCCGTTTTCACCATTAAATCCTTTGCGACGAGATCTTCGAGACTACATCTCATATCAATACTTGTGTACAAGTGCAGTTGTGGGTGTGATCAGCATGCTCCTTCCGTTGCTACCATGGGAGAGCAGCACTTGCTTTGCCTCTGCTCAGTCGACCAGCAGATGACTCGTTTTTTTTAAAGCCGATTTGTTCGGCATCAATGCCTGTCTTGGCTTGGAATCGTTCTTGGTTTGGAGTACTAGTAAATAATAACGGCAATGCTACACCTACGTAGCAGAAGTTACGTACTTTACGTGATTAGCAACGTGGATAATTATCATTGGGGAAGAGGGAGGATGAGGCCCCACCCCCCCTGAAAATCAAGTTTAGCTCAGACGTAGCTGTCTTCTTTTTGGGCGTGAAGAAGTGTCAAACCAAAATGAAAATCAGGGGGGGCAGAGAAGGATTTAGGAAGGTTACGTAGAAATCTTTCGTAGCTTTACGTAGAAATCTTCATGGCTGGGTGCATCAACTGATCCAGAAGAATCATTTTTCTCCAAGGAACTGGAAGATGGTTGCCCTGCCCATCCCATGGAGTTTCTACTTGTTCCGAAACGGCACGAATTTACTCTTCTACTCTAGAAAAAACACAGTTCTACTGCCGTACCAATTTAATTTACAGACACAAAAATTTTCTTGTCAAGCAGTGGTGCGAGGCTGAAGCTGAATCCCAATAACCACCTCGCACCTTTGGATGTCCCTCCTCTTCTTGGAATGCTCTGCTCTGCTCTGTTGGCTGCTGCTGCTGCTGCATCCACAAATTAAAGCCCACTTCTCTTCTTTAAAGGAAGGACATTCTATTCTGCAAACACGCAACGCAATTATATCAGTAATGTGGTGCTTGAGGAATGTGGCCCTTAGAAAGCAAGGGCAACTTTCTGGCGACAGACAGATTCGAGTAATTCAGAGAGATATTACAATGAATGTTTCAGTGCACTGTGCACAACACTTTTGGGCATTACATTAGGTAGTAGGGAAACCCCAAAAATGAGAACAAAGTGTCAAGCACGTACTCACCTTTCAGCATATCAACACAGACAATTGCCCTGTTCACTTCTCCTTTCCACCCAGAGGCTGAAACTGAATCCCAATAACCATCTTGCAGCTTCGCACCGTTTGGATGTCCGATCCTTTGGAACGCGAATAGAAAATGTACATCTCCATTTTCTGTTCGCTGCTCCTCTTCT